GGGTCGCCGGGCCTTCTGAGCCCGAACAAGCGACCGCGAACCTCCCCGGCGTCGCTCCACCGGCCTTCGCCGACTCGGACCCTGGAGTCTCGGATTCCGGACCGTCGGTGCCCAGGGGCTTAGGCTCGACTCTCGGCGGCCCCCTGGATTCCCAGTTTGCCGGACCCTCGGACGCCAGCCTGGGCTTTGCTCCAGGCCCCCGGGTCTTGCCCTGCGGCCCCAGTCCACAGCACCACCGGGCCCTGCGCTTCTCCTACCACCTGGAGGGCTCGCAGCCCAGGCCTGGTAAGTGATCGAGAGAGCATGGGAGCCCGGCTACGGGCCTGGTACTGGGAGGGGGTTCTTGTTCTCGGGCTCCTAAGCTCCACCTCGGGGCCGGTCCGCTCACCCAAGCCCTTCGAGTCTTCTCAACCCCCAACCCCTTCCCTCCCTTCTCGGCCTTCCTCCATTCCTTTCAACCTCTGATCCCCGACTCCTCTCTGTTCCCCGACTCCTCTATGTCCCCTGTGCTCTTTCAACCCCTCCATCCCCATTCTTTTCTTTCTGCTGAGGCTGATGGGAGAGAGAGAAGTCCAAGAAAAAGGGGCAGGATTGCAAGGCAGTAAAGAGGATTTGGTTGGGGAACCGGGGTTTATTTAGGGGAATAGGAGAAAAGGAGCCTCCCATTTGCCAAGCGCCTACATTGTGCCAGGCACTGAGCTGGGTGCTTTACGTGGATTCTCATTTCATCTTCAGGAGCTCCTGTGAAGTATAATTAGCCTCATTCTGTAGAGGAGGAAACTGAGGCTCAGAGAAGTTAAGCAACTTGCCCAAGGTCACACGGCTAATGTGGAGCCAGGATTCAAAACCAAATCTATTTGATTCCAAAGTCTGTGGTCTTTCTACTCCCCCAAACTGAGGTTGGAGACCATGAAAGTAATGCCAAACCTTCTGCTTATGCGATTTTCTCCTGTACTGTTCAGCAGCTCTGGAGTATGAGTGGAAAAAAAAAAAAGAGGGATGGTGGATTGATCCAAGATTGGGCTTTTGCCAGGTGTGTATGGCTGGAGGACAAGGGAAGGAGAGAATAGAAGGTGGTAATGGGAGAGAAAGGTGGAAGAAGTGGGGCTTGGGGTCAAGCTGGAGGGGAGAGCTGGAGGGGCTGGTGGGTAGGGAGACAGCAGAGAGGTCAAGGCAGGCAGAAGCCAGTTGTAGCAGAGCTGGAGAGCTGCAAGGCTACAGGGTTGTTTGTGAGGGGAAATCAGGATGCTTGAACTTGGATTTACAAAGGTGGAACAAGTCTAGGTTAGGCCACAGACCACTAACAGTAGAGGCCTTTGCACTGCACAGACCTGAGTGTCTGAGGAGTCCAGCAGCCCCTCCCCTCCATCTGAGGACATCCCCATGTGGACCTGAGGTTAGGAGCCATAGAAGAAAGGCAGTGCATATCTGCTGTGCCTTCCACTGGGCAACACCAATAGAGATGTTGAGCCTCTGGAGGGCCCCCAGGGCTCACCTCCCAGGCTCCACAAATCTTTGGGACTGTGGCCCAGCACCAGGTAGCAATGGTGAAGCAGGATGGACCCCTTGCTGCCCTTATGACCAAGGGCTAGTCATCAAACCTCTGGGAGTTTTCAGGGCCTCCCTCTCTGTGGGCTGGAGATATCCAGCTGACAACAGGCCTTTAACCCCCTGCCCTAAATGTTGTCCTGCTAGCTTTCCAAACATCCCCTGACAGACACTGTGTGGAGCAGGCTACTCACCCACTTTATTACGGCATCTTCTTTTCGGATCTCAAAACATGCCACAAGCACTCCCACCTCAGGGCCTTTGCATCTGTTTTTCCCTCTGCCCGGCAGCTCATTCCCCTGCTCTCCACTTCGCTTGTTCCTCTTCTTTCAGGACTCAGCTCAGAAGTCACTTCCAAGAGACCTTCCTTGACCACTTTAGTTAGGGCCACTTGTGAGTCTCCATTGCAGTTTCATCCTTGTGCACTTTCATCCTTGTACTTAGTACAGTCTGCAGTGATCTCATAATATGTGTCTATTTGTTTATTGCTCACCTCCTTCCACTAGAATGTGAGCTCTGTGAGGGCAAGAGGGTTGGATCTGTTTTGTTCATTCTTGTATCCCCAACGACTAGCGCAGTGCCTGGCACACAGTGGGTACTCAATAAATCATTGTCGAACAAATGCCTGAACAGATTATAAGGGAGCACCTAGTAGGTAGGCCCCAGTAACTGCTGTCTAAGAGAAGCACAGCTGAACTTCCCTCTGGATACTCTAGAACTGAAAGTTAGTAGATGGGTAGCATCTAGAATGTTGTTGGTACCTGGCCTCTGATCAATACATGGTAGTGATTCTGAGTTGCCTTCTCACTTCACCAATCCTTCCAAATTACCAATCGTAATACCCATCCTGAACCATTTCCTTCCTCATAAAAGTTCCCAGGGTCATTTTCCCAATGAAGTCCCTGCCTCTGTACTTGGTGTGTGTCTTTTTT